CCTGCAAAGTTTACTCCCATCAGCTGGAGTGAAAAGCGATTTTTTTAGTGTATCCCAGTGCTTTGAGGTAAAAGGATGTCCAAGGCTTATGCATAGAACCCGGTTTATCATTATTGTCTGTGGTTTGTTTGTTAGTTAGTTTGAGTCAGCATTTTCCTGTCAGTGTAAGAGCACTTAAGGTTGCTTCAGGTTGGGATCTCTAAGGAAGTTCACTAAACTAGTCTATTGAAAGCCATTTCCTTCACCTGTGGTTTGCCCATCATTGCAGTTCTTCTGCACCTGATCCCTAGACTAGAAATGTTAATTCTTATGTGTAGGACTGATTGTGGTGTCTTGACTTTGGCTGGCTGTTTGGTGCCTACACAGCCTGCTCACTCAATTCCACTCCTAAACAGGACAGGGCAAGAAAATAAGATGAAAAAGCCTTGTGGGCCAAGATACAGACAGAAAGACTGCTCACCAGTTATTGTCATAAACAAAACAGGTTTGACCTGGGGAAAAATTAATTTATTTCCAATTAAAACAGAGGAGGATGGTGAGAAACAAAGACAAAATCAAAAAGACCTTTCCCCCACTCTCATCTTTTTCCCAGACCCAACTTAATTTCCTAATTTTTCAGTCTATGTTGTCCTCTGCCACCAGCACAAAGAAGAATGGGAGTTATGGTCAGTCCATAGCAGTTCCTCACTGCTGCTCCTTACACTTCATGATTTTTCTTCTGCTCTGGGATGGGTCCTCTCCATGGGCTGCAGCCTTTTAGGGTAAACCTATTCAGCATGGGTTTTCCACAGGTTCCTTCAGGAAATATCCACCTGCTCCAACACGGGGTCTTCCATGGACTGCAGTGTGAATAGGTACTGTGGCACAGTTGTCTCCAGGGGCTGCAGAGAAATACCTGCTTCACCATGGTCATCTGCACAGGCTGTGAGGGAGTGCTGCATGGATGTTTCTCTTGCATTTTCCCCCACTCCTGTCCCATGGCTGTTGTGCACTGTCTTTACCCTTTCATAAGCCCTTGTGCACAGAGGTGCCACCGTCTTGACTGCAGGGCTCAGACGTGCCCTGTGGTAGATCTGTTGAAGCTGGTGGAAACAGCTCTGTCCATCATGGAGGAGTACTGGCTTCTTCTCATAGAGGACACCTTGCAGTCCCCACTACCGGTGCCTGGATACTTCCACCTGATACATCAATATAGAGTGGGAAATGTAGTTGAAGAAATCCACCAATTATTGGTTGTTATTGTAAACCAAGAGCAAAAGCAGTGTTCTGGACACCTTTGCTCCTTTCACTCATCTCTCAGTATTTTCTTTTGTTTGTCTGACCCTGAATGTTACTTCAGTTCTGCTTCTCTCTCAGCTCTACACACTTCTTTCCAGCAATGCAAGATGAATATGCCCACTCCATCTGTTTGTTTCTCGTTCTGCTTATTTCCATGCTATTCCACCCAATCCTAGAAACTACTTTTTGTTTCCCTGCTCCTGTCTCTCCTGACCTGCCCCTGGCTTTACTGGCAATGCTTCAAGCTTTGTGTGATGAGCTTTCTCATGCCCCCAGCACTCCTGAGCCACCCAGACAAAACCTTCAGTTTAGAAAAAGGTTGAGCAAATGATTTAGTTTATTTAACACCGTTATTTTAAAAAATGATTATTCTTCATCAACCATTTTGCCTGGGCCTGTTCCCAGGCTTCTAACTGCCTTTAGTGCCCACTCCTCTAATGGGAAATGCTGCCATCTCAACCCCTTATTAACCAACCAGCTCTTACTTTCAAGGCTATGCTTCTTTCAACTGCCTGCTCATCCAGTCTCTTTCAAAGGCTCTACTGTGATCTGAGGGCCTCGAGGCCACCATCAGTTCCTCCTGGCTTGCCCTCTGACATGGACTGCTCCATGCTAGGCTGAAGTACTTTTTTCCCTCTTCCTTTTTCCCTCATTGCGCAGACTGGCAGTTAAGACACGTTTAGCTGTCACACCAGATATGATTACCCAAACTGCTAGGCAGTGGTCTCATTTCTCAACTAAATGAAAATATAGGGCTGTAGACTGTGAGACTGAAATGGTGCATCAGTGAAGCAACACTGTAGATTGCTCTTTAATATTCAAGTGAAAGTTCAAATGCATATTTATCATGGCGGATAATAGTAATTAATTTTGAAAGTGAATAACTGCAGGAATCCCTGGACTGGAAAGTTAGTTTTGAATTGTAAGACATCTACCCTATACTTTCAGTGCCACCAAACACTGAGACACAATTTAAATTGTCATGCACAATTACCTAGAAAACTGTACGTGATAGGATTTTAAAGGGGCTGAAGATGTTTCTTGCTGGCTTTAGAGTCTGTACTAAACCTCATGGTGTTATGCTGACACCAAGACTCCCTGCAGAGCTGAATGTTCTCATACCATGATTACACAGAAGCTCCTGAGTGGCTTCAGACTCTGTGAAAGTGTCTCTTAACTGCGTGACCTTGTAACTAACAGGTCAGAGTCAGGGTGTTGTGGGGGCCAGTAGCCATGGGACTCTTCTGGGATCCATCAGGGCAATCTGTCTTTTTGTTCTGGAAACCTTTCTATACAGCTTACTACAACTGCAGTCTCAGTACAAGCATCCACCCAGGTCACGTGCTCCATCTCTGCAATCCTTGGTCAGGTTGTCAGAGAGTGTGAAGTTGCCGATGGAGTAATCCCTCTTGTTCACGAATGGTTTTTTGCTAACTCTGCCTTTATCCAGATAATTCATACAAAGTTTAGGTATAACTGTTGAGGTTGTAACAAATGGTAGCAAAAAGGTGCTGATGGAGCAATTGAATGTGGAGTAACAACCACATCTCATAGTCTTAATGTAAAAAAAAAATATATATATATATATGGAAAGCAATAAATAATTTTAGTTACTCAGTGGGCACTTGTACTCCAGAGGGGTTATCCAGAATTACTTGATAGTTAATAGTCATTCATTAGATTACATATGACAGCTCAACAGCCTGATCTTTGTCTTATGGAGCTGAGGGGATTTATAGACATGAGAGAACTGCTTTCAAATAGACATGGAAAGTTTTCTTAAGCGGTCACACTCACAGAACTGTACTTTAAGTCATCCTCTTTGAATTGGAAGCTCTTGACAGCATTGTATCTTTTGAAAAAATGCCACCTCAAACGAAGGCATGTTAAAGTGCTATGGAATGATAATGATGCAATGGGTGCTATCTGCTGCAACTACCTTGGAGAGAGTTAAAAAACATATCCTACTTAGCTATAATTCTATTTGAACAAATGTATCATTTGAAGAGTTTAATTTTGTTTGAAAAACCTGAAATTTTGTTCAGCTAATAGGAGTCCAAGGCACCTATTTTTCTGAAAGTCTTGCCCAGAACAATTCATTAGAAGAAGATTTTTCTCACATAAATAAACTTTCAACTATATTTTCTCACAAAAAACTGTATTTGTCTTGCTAATCTGCAAACAAAATAAAACTACTCTGCAATTTCATCTCTCACTGGCATCCCGACTGTTCCAGTGGAATTAATTCCCCTGGGTGTCTTTATCAGATTTTTTAACTTTATTCCTGAACATGAAGTTCAGTTCAAACCAACAAAAAGAGAGGAGGAGCTTTTCTTATGTGGCTTTGCAGTAAGTGACTAAGAAATGTTTTGTTGCCAGAGGCTATGAAGTTCTGTGGACCCTTCCAACCGAAACATTGATTATAGTGTTGTTTGTGATTTTCAAAGGATTAGATGTTCCTTTCAAGCTTGTTAGCTTCTGGTAGAATCCAAATGAACTATTTTCTTTCAAAGCTAAGGTACAGTTCTGCCTCCCAAGCACTTGTACTTTAAAGCTGGGCAGATAAAAAGAAACCCCAAAATCTGAGGCAAGTGTTCACTGTTATACATTAATATATCAGAGGAGAATTTCAATAGTAACTTCAGCACAGTCTGATTAAAGATTCACAAATCATAGTTTAAAGAACCTGTTCAAAGAGTAACGTAGGGAAATACATGAAGACATTGTGTGAGACAGAGAAACTTGTTTGGACACTGCACAACAACTAAAATGCAAGTCAAATTTACAGCCAGTTAGGAGATAATGTATGGAGATTTACCCATTTGCTGGCATGCAACAAATGTAGGTAGACTGAAAAATAAAATCTTTCTAGAAGCTTTTTTATTCAAGAATATTTTGTGCTCTTCCTGACTCTTTCTCTCCAGAAAGGAAATATTTTCAAGAGAATGCTCCATTTAATCATAACTACTGCAAACTGAAAAAAAAAAAATGGTTTATATGTGTCTTTTGAATTTTATATTGACTCTTTTACATAATCCCTAGTTTCAGCTTGAGATCTAATATTGTAGACACAGATTTCAGCTGTACTGCAAATGCAGAGATCTACCCTTCTTACAAATTTACACAGCAAACATGGCACTTCTATTGTTTCTAAGACAAAAATGGACAACAGGCAGTTCTCATAATTTGCAACCTGGCTACCTTGCAGCTTTTCCCCAGTCTTGCTGGCAGTCTGGGCATTATAGGCAGACTCCAATAGATGATAAAGAAGAGTCATGAATTCACCCTGTCAGCAAAATCCATATTTTCTACTTAATGATAGATTTTTATACAAATGTGCAGATTAGAAACAAATGTTCATTTCACTGCAATTTAAACAATAGGATTTAAAAGTAGTATACAGTTTGAATTGAAATTACTGATACAGATTGAATTGGCTCATCTCTGTGGTAATGCAACACTGGATGCAGAAGATTTAGTTTGAATTTTTCTAAAATGACAAAAGGTGGTTGAGACTTTTTTTTAACTGGCATGAACACTGTCAACAGAATTGAATTAGTAATTAGCTTAGTATTAACTCAGAATTAGCTTAGTAATATTTCTGGAGGTCTGCTTGACAATTCGTGTGAATACTTAGTTTGTATGTATTCTTTGGTAGTCTTCTAAAAAATCACTGGTAATACACTACAATAGACAAAGTATTACTGTGCACACACTTGTTGGTATTTTTAACTCTGCAAACAGATGTTGCACAGCAATCCACAGGTGCTTCTATAATCTTCATTTTTCACTAAGTGTTTACCAGTTCCAGTTCCAGTTTGACCTGGAACAGTAGAACATCTTCTTAAATGTACTCCTCAGTTCTGGGCTTCGGAATGCAAAAATCATAGGGTTGATGATCGCATTGCACATTATGAGTGTTCCATTCACATGGAAAATGGACATGTAGCAAGCACAGTAAGGGTTATGTGGGCAAAACCTGGCTAAGAGAATGTGAAGAACAAAGGGGGCCCAACAGCAAAGGAAAACTCCTAGAAAAATAGTCAGTGTAATTGCTCCTTTCATGTTAGTTCTCTGGTGGACTGTGCTGGTGGGCAGCGAAGCAATCATTTTGGCATGAGATCGAGCCAGGAGGAACATATGGACATAGAGGCACAGTATAAAAAACATCATTAAAGGGAACAGGATAGTGAAGGGAATGACTGTTGCAGCTTCATAGGAGAAGAGGGCAATGGCAATGCTACTGCCAGCACAGAAAGTCCAAATGATTGCCAAGATAACCAAGGCCCTTCTCATTGTCATGATATTATGGTACCGCAAAGCATAGAAGATAGTGATGTATCGATCTGCTGCAATAGCCAACAAGCTGAAAATAGACCCCAGTAAAGACAGAATGAACATGGAATCCATGGCATCATCCAGTTTTTTCTCAAAGTCCCCATGACGTGTCAGGTATCCCATTTTGCACAAGATGATAAAGATGTTCTCCAGAGTCTTGTACAAGCTACCTAACATGTCTGAAATGGCTAAACTGCAAATGAAGAAGTACATGGGCAAGTGCAAATTCTTGTTTCTAACAACAGCAATAAGGATAAGCAGATTTTCCAGCATCCCAGCAGCAGCAACAGTGAAAAACACTTCCTCTGGCACAACAACCTGGGTGCAGTCAGTGACATTTAACGAAAAATCACTTATATTTTCGAGGGAAGGAACGTTTGTCTGCCCTGGGCGTTTGATTAAGTCGAAAGGCCTCGCAGTGTTCATCTCTTCCGGTCGTGGAAAGATTCTGGATCGCCTTTTTTTAGGTTTGGCTTTATTCTGAAGTTGACCTGTGAATCAGACCATTCTTCTTATGATCAAGGTTTTCTCCTTCATCTGAAGGAATTTTGAGACTTAACTGAAAGGTTTGGAATTTCTCCTACAATAAAACATGTAGAAACATAAATATCAAGAAGAAATTTACCACACAGGTAAGGCAAGAATAGACATTTGAAATATCACCTACTGAAATGGAAAACACATACATTATGACTAAAGAGAGGCACAATTGGACTGGATAAAATAAGATCTATTCAAGACTTTGCAGAACCTTACAGAAAATCAAAGTGTAAATTATCTTTTAGCTTCAAAGTAATTTTAAAAAATAGGTGTAGTGTTCTTTACCAATGGGCATACCACATTTACTGAACTAACCTGACAGACTTCAAGAGTTTGGCAATCTTTACTGGCCTAGCTGTTTGCTTTGAGAAACTCTGGCACTTCCTGCAAGATTTACAGTATTAATAGACACAAATAAGACCAGTGCCAAGATAAACTGTTGTCCAGAACAGTAACATGTTTACCACCACACTGTTGATGGTGTAATGAAGTGCCCTCAATTTAGACATGAACATTTGTAAATATTGATGATTTAGAGGCATGTTAGATAGTAGTGAGAGGCTTCCTTTTCATTTATATTGAAACTGTAATTTGATTTCATGAAAATATTTCTAAGATCCAAAGTACAATCTTTTCTTGTCTGTATTCTACAACAATCTAAAAGACTGATTGTTTATTTCAGCATCAAGGTGATGTTTTCCTTTCCCCATAATGATCCTGATCTAAACTTCCTCAAAACCTATTTCAAAAAGAATAGGCTTTTAACTTTTTCATTATAGATATGATATTAATTTAGCTCAGATATGATGCATAAATTATAAGACACACTTTTTCCTGCAATTTTTATAGCCCCTCTTGCAAACCACAGATGCAGCTGCTATTTGGAAAATCCCCTTCTTTCAAGAACTGATATGTTTTCACTGAAAGGGTTGCCAGGCATTGGAACAGGATGCCCAGAGTAGTGATTGAGTCACTATCCTATGAGGTATTGAAATGATGTGTAGGCAGGGCACTTGGGGGCATGGTTTAGTGGAGGACTTGGCAGTGCTGAGCTAACAGCTGAAATTCGTGATCTTAAAGGTTTTTTCCAACCTAAATTACTCGATGATTGTCCCTCTGTTTTTAAGTTTAAAACAGGTTTCTTTGACACTTTCATATCAATGTCTTAAAATTCCTTTGGACATTTGTTCATAGTCAGGGTTGTTGAATACCATAATACATCATTACTGTTCCAAAGGGAGAAGTCATATTTTAATTACTTTTTATGTAAACAATATGATCTGCAAGCATCAATATCTGTTATCAGGGCAGCTGAACAGCTATCTGAATGTGATTAGCCCTAATGGCAATGGATGTATTTGACCTCTTTCCCATGGAAAACAGGTTTCTAGGTTGGGTTTTCTAATGTTGTCTGCTGAGATTTCCAGTAAGTGCTACTTGTGGTATAGAATGCTGAGAACTGGACCACCTGCCTTCATGAATTTGATTGAAACAAGCTCATTTAAGGAAAGTATTCAGGAAAGTACCCACACATATCTGAAAACATAGGCTGTGCAGTGGAATAAGGAACTGTATTGCACTGCAGCATGCATGAACATTCCAAAGAAAATTAGATCAGCATCTGTCACTAATAAGAATAAGAGACTTGACAATGTCTTTGTAATGATATGCTTTTCCTGTTCTCACCTAGAGCTGCTGTCACAGTTAAGTTTTACGATTTCTAATCTAGCACTCTGTTTAACAATTTTCACTCTCTGTAGAAAGACAACACAGGCATTTCAGACAAAACCTCATTTCAATTGTATTTAACCAGGGGAATCAGTTGGTAAAAATATGTTTATGTCACTGTTTGCTCACAACTGGTTTTCCTAATGTTTCTTTCTTGACATAGTCATATTGCTGAAACAATCTGTCTGAAAAATATGAAGGTTCCTTCACTGAAAACATATAATATTATGAATGGCAAGGTATATTACATCCACTGCTTGTAATTTTACAGTGACATTTTAGTAAGTACAATGTTTGGGCAGAACAGAAAACTTGCAAGGACTTGAGTGCATTTACAGTAAACTGAATAATTACATCACTTAATGTTGTTTCCAAACAATAGAAAACCAGGAAAAGATACTCTTGTTTCAGAGAGTCTCATTTCAGCATATTGCATACTGTTTTATTAGGTTTCCATCAACCTAATTTCATTTAAGGTCTCATTTAAGGTCTAGGAATAAGTTTGTCTGACTAGCAAGAAATGAAAAACAGTCAAAAAGCAACAAATGATAACAGAAGACCTTTGCATCTGAGACACTTTTATAAATGTAGCTGTATAGCAAAAACTGCAAAAACCTCAACCCACTGTTTTTCATGTTTACATTACGACCTGGGGGAGAAATGATCAGGTCAGTAACACTGGATATTCAGAAATACTTTTGATCTAGAAAGAGGCAGTCTCCTGAGCAGGTATAATGAGCAATGAGCTGATGGCAACACTGAAGTTACTAAAAATGCATATATTTGTTGTATTATAAAAAATTTCTATTTGTTTTGTAGTTATCTAAAGCAAGACAAAGCAGCAAACTTGGAAAATGGAAACCAGGACCAGAAACTGTACTGACAGTATCGTACACACTTAGGAAACAAATCAAAGTCAAATTCTCTGTCAATTGTATTCATCACCATGATTATGTTCTGCCTCTTTAAAACACTCTTTTCACTTGGAAAGCATGTTTGCACTGGTTTATATTACACAGCTAAAAGCCAGCACTGGTACTTCTCCTAGTATAAGGCTGAGAATGCACCTGTGGATGCTGGGAGCTCCCAGTACTCCGCAGGATCAACCTTGGGCAGAAAGCACAACTCTCTCCTGTGTGCCCAGTGCCTACTGATAACTAAAATACAATTTTGTCTGTGGTAGAAATGCAATGAATTAGCATCTGAAAGGTCTGGGAATAATAGGTCTGCAGGTCTTATTCATTAAATAAATAAACAACACATTTCCCCTCAGTCCCGAAATGTTAAATAAACTGACCTGGTCAGCTGTACTAGCAATAAAAGTAATTTCAGTTGCAAACTATAATGATAAGATAAAGAAATTACATACCTTAAATACTGTATAAAATCCCAGGTGTTTTTTTGCATCTATTATTTTTTAATAGCAAACTATAATTCCCTTTATCAGAGAGACGCCAGGATGTACTTGTCCTTTAAATAGCTGGCATTAAATAAAACCAGAAAGGGTACTGAGTAGTCTCTTCAGCTTTTGGACTGCACAAAACATCTGAGATAACTAGACAATTATGTAGATGCAATGATTTCTTTCCAGAACTGTGAAATGTATTAATTCCCTGTTCTATGCATGTAAATGTTTTGAAAAATTTAATTAATTAGCAATGAAACAGAATAAGTGGTTTGTATATCAGACACAGTATATACAGTATATTTCACAATCCAAAGCCAAAATGTTTCAATTTTTTATCAAGATATATCTGACAAAAAACTATGGACAATTACCTTTTCTCTTGTTTCTAACTTTTCCAGGTGTACCAGGCATTTAACAAGGAAACAAGCCTCTCAGAAACAGGGATGTGGAGGTTTAATTTTTAAAGAAGCTGTTAAAAAGGAAAAATTGCAACCTTTTTTTTCAAGGGGATAAAGGGCACTGGACCTTTTATAGGCAGGGGAGCTATGAGGACAGAAGGATCCTTACACTTGCTAATGGGCATTTCTTTTTGTCTACCAGCTGGGCTTAGCCCTGAACAAGCAAGTCAAAAAAACACACAGAGGCTGATTCTGCCTTGACCTACACATTCTATAGTGCTTTGCAGTTGTTAAAAGTGACTGTGTCAGAAGAATTACTCCACAATATATAGATGGTTAAGGGTCCTGTTAGCTTCTCTACCTCCTGTAGCTTTTCTAGCCATAATTAAAGTGAAGGTCATTGGTTATCTGAGTACTTAAACTATCTCACTGAATTCTAGGTTGACTGTGCTTAAGGTACCTCAGCATGGCCCGTGTAAAAAAACCTGAACAGAAAACTTTCTTCCTGAGGGACAGTAGCAGATCATAAATGAAACATCCTAAGCTTCAGTTGTTAAAGTCTTGAACGGAACGGTTTACTTCGACAACCTTGATTTTAAATCCCTCACCATTTATTAAACAGACCCAAATAGTGCAGGAAGCATCCAAGAAAGATGCTGAAATTTAGTGGAAGCACAGTTTCTCAATAATGTACTAACATTGTTCCTTTTTGAAGGAAGTTGTGAACGTTCTTCCTTTTTTTTTTTTGTTTGTGGAGGAGAGCTGACTGGTAATTTTGTGAGAGGTTATGGTTTCACAGCAAGCTCTGAGCCACCTGAGCAACTCACCGTGCTGGAAGGCAAATTTCCTGCTCTCCCTTTCTACCTGCACTTCCTTCACTTCTGTTATCTCCCTGGAGCCTTCCAAACCTTTTCTTTCCTGAACAGCTATAGCAATTTCTCCTTACATTTTCTCCTTACACCGGGGTGTACCCTGAAAATGGGGTACACTGGTGGGGCTGACTGGTGCAGGGGCTGCAGCACACTGAACTGACGTGTGAGGTGCCTGCAAGCTACCACACATACCAGTTTCCTGAGGGAAACTAACCCTAACTTTGTGAGCCTTATGCCAAAAACTGCATTTTTACCAGTGCCAAGACCATGCTGTTTCTATCCAGCTCAGATGTCCCTAGCAGCATAACAATCTATGTACAAATCCCAGCATGAGTAGTTCCTTACTACTGAAACTCCTATGCCAGGGTTCCTCCTCTGTGAGGGTTGATTAACCAGATCCTTCTTCTTAGGGAACTATTCACAGTCCTATGGGTCTTTCCTTTGGGAATCCTGCTGAAAGTATTGGTGTTTCTCATCAGGAACCAAGGCAGCAAAAAAAAGTGTGCATTTGATAATTTTGTCTCATGCAAAACTAAAAAAATCTATATTTCAAAAACTTTGTTCAGCAGGCACTGAATGAAATGGCAGCTGTGAATGGCAGAAGAGTAACAGCATTAATTTCCATCCTCT